AACACCGTCCGGACAGCCTCGTACGCCGATCCTGCAACGAGTCGTACTGGATCAGGCAGAAGATCCAAGACTTGGCCATTAGCAACTTTCTGCAGCCGGTCGGGCAAGAAGCCCACTGGTGGACTTAACTTCGCAAGCGATCTGGCAAGGCACCTGGTCACCTCAACGTGGTTGTGTGGGCCATGGCATGTGGTCTGAAGCTCCCATCCCACGTGGGCAAGAACTTGAAGCTGGCCCGGCACAGCAATTCCGTGCTCGCCGAAGTTGAGTCCGAACAAGGGGGTGTCCTGCCCCATCAGGCTGATCTTGCAGCGGAGATCCCCGAAGTAGATTTTGAGTTCATGCCAGCTGAATGCTCTGATCGAAGGCGCAGCACTGTTTGGGCAGCTGGCGCCGAAGTTCGAGAAGCCTTGGCTCAGAATCGCGACGGCCTGTTCCACTGTCGAGATTGCGTTGTTCTTCAACCATTCAGCCTCGCGGTGCTGCATCACTGCATCAGCAAAGCAACAGTGCACTGTCAACAAGCTGTGCAGAGAGATCAGACACCCTGCCTTATTTTTAGCAGCATTGTAGCCATCCTTCAAGGTGTCGATGGGGTTCGTCGCGACATCTACAGCAGCCTCTCCCGCATCCCGACCCGAGTCGACGATAACTTCGGGAAATCTCCTTCTCCGGTGCTTCCAAAAGCCCTTAGGTGTCGGCAACAAGGGAAAGGAACTGAACCTAACAATGGCAACAAGAAACCTGACACTCGCACAGCTGGCAGCAGCAACGACTACAGCGAGTTGGACGAGTCACAGACTCGCGATCGGACGACGACTCCTGCGACTGACTACTTTCGCCTGCGGTGGCGATGTCCTCTTCATGATGGAGGATACCTGAGTTGTCCCAATCAAGCCAGCGCTTCAGCTGTTCGCGAACCCACGGTTTCCAGCCAAGTCACCCTTCTCTCGCTGACGATTGTGCTTGAGAAAGACTCTCTTGACGATGTCCTGCGCTTCCTGCAGCCGTGTGTGCGCATCTTCTTCCTCCATCTCGAGCAAGGCCTCGCCTTGTGGCTCGTGGCTTCCAACTTGGGCCTTGAGGGATTCGATCTCCTTTTGCTGCAAGTCGATCCTCTTCCGCAGCCTCACATCCTCGGCCTGCTGCATCTCAGCAACCGCCTCGAGCTGTGCGACCTTCACGAGAAGAAACTCCAAGTTCTTGGCGAGCTGGCCGAAACCCTCGATGGGATCACTCGCGTTCTCCGTCATGGGGTTCGACATGTTGTTGATCTCCTCCATGTCCTGCTTCAAGTCGTCAGAAACGACCTCCTCCACAATCTCCTGGACGGTCGCATTCACGGAGTCGGTCACCGGGATGGGAGACCCCGACAGCTTGAACGACCGGGACGTGACCCAACAGAGAACCCAAGCCAAGATCGTGAGGGCTCTGAATGAGCCAAAGGCTCTCGAAGAGCCGAGCTTCATTGATGTCAAGAGCGGAGCTCCTGGAAGATTCAGCTCATCCACCCGTGGCGCTAAATGAAGTTACGCCAGATTTTGAGCTGGAATGCGTCGGTTGTCAAGGAACCCATCTCCCGTGCAACTCTTCAAAGACGGTGTGGGAACTACAGCTCATTCAGCCATGCAGCCAAAGAAGCTTCTTCTACTAGTTCAGCTGGGTAGGACGGTTGATTCTCATTGGAGGGTTGAGCATGTAGCTCCAGGGCCCTAGGGTGTTGGAGGCCTCATCACATGACACTCTGCGGTTGCTGAATGTGTCCTCATCGTCCAGACAAGCAAGCTCTCATTGAGGCTGCGCACTTTTCTGGCCGCAGGCAGTCACTATTGCTGGGCAGTGAACCACTTCACTGAGTGCCGGTCAAGAGCTTCCAGTTCAGGTACTCCATGCTGGTCCACATCTCGTCTTCCGAGAGTGCCCGGTTCCAAGTGATGACCTCCATGACGCCGAAGTC